ATAGCTAATTTCTTAGACGTACGTCCATGAATGGTCAGGAGAGCATCCGTATAGGTTGTAGAATATCACAAATTTAAAGTATAATGTATACAGTTGTCGACTGTTTGTGAAGGAGGGCATGGAGCTTGATGATGACGTCTTCTTCCTTATGCCAAGTTTCTTATGTCTTGACAGTTGACATGCTATGAGACTCCATGCTATGAGACTGAGGGATTACCTTTCTACAAAAAAATAAAGGCCAGAGGGAGTAATACCTTTTTTTATAAGTTCCTTTAGTTACAGCTGTGTCCCCAAAACTTCTAATAATAGATGGAACTCTGTCCTTAGCAATAATCCAAGGTCAAGCAAACAGAAGTCATATTTTATATAACCAGTACATACGGATCACTCTCTCCTTCATCTCTCAATGTACCTTACTTAGAGAAAAGCTCACCAGATATCGCTAATTCAAACAGTGTCCAAAACATTTGTGGAAACCTTGAAGGAGATAAAGAATGGTGGTCTGAAGTTCAACTTGAAACTTCACCTGCAAAGGCTTAAGCCGCAATAAAGTCAGTTAAAGATTGTGTTGCAAGCCCACATAGCAGTTAGTACAACCACAGAGCAAAACCAGAGTTTGCTGTCTGCCCCTTTGTTAGCAGGTGAACAGGCTTTAAATTAAGCATTGACTAAAGTAAATCCAGAAGGTCTCTTTAAATCCTCAAGAGGCCTTACACAAAGTGGATACCCCAAGCACAAACTGCGCTATGGCAAATATGTCTGGAGTAGGAGTGGCAAGCGGGCGGGTTGGGTCGGATATGGTTCGGGTCGAAAACGGGTAATGAAAAAATGGATCAATTATCCGACCCGACCCATATTTAATACGGATAAAAAACGGGTTAACCGGCGGATAATATGGGTTACCCATATTATCCATGACTTCTTGTATATGATCACTTTTGGGAGTATTTTTAGTCTCCGTAACTTGAGGAACCACCAATTTGAGGCTTTACAAATGTAAAAGTTAGCCACATTGGTTACTCATTGATTATCCATTTTCTAAATGGATAATATGATTCTTATCCATATTTGACCCGTTTTTAAAAAGTTCATTATCCAACCCATTTTTTAGTGGATAATATGGATAGTTAACTGTTTTCTTTTAACCATTTTGCCATCCCTAGTCTGAAGGAATGAAGTGGATAACTGTTTTTGAAGTGGGACGTAATCTGGTGCAGCATGTCCAGGAGGATCAGTCAAAATTTCTGAGAGTAATCTTACTGGCTTCTCACTTTTGAACTTTTAAGCAGTCTCTGGATGATATATATCTTGGCAGAAAACAGCTTGTTTGCAGTGGAAACGCTAAAAAAATATTCAACAGAATGAATCCTAGGATGTAATGCGAGAATATCACATACATCATTGGCTAGGACCGCCATTAGGTGCAAAACATAAAAGCACAACTATACAGGACATAAAGTGGAAATTTTTGAGAAAATGCAGTATCTATCAGTTGGAGGAAGGCTGACCTTAGAAACAGAGTGCCATTTCAAATCACTATCTCTCATAATTAGTTGAAATTCCAGCAAAGGTGGACAATAAGTTAGATAGAAATAAGAGGCACTTTTGGGAAATGGACAGCAGCAGGGACTCCAAACAGAAGCTGTCTCAGAAAGTTGCCATGGAAAATTTTCCACTACCAAATTGAAGTTGTGGGAAAACAGCTAAACACAAACATGATTAAAGGGAGTGGTTTCCAATAATCACATCACGCGGAATGAGTCTATGGAAACAACCTCTCTATCCTCACAAGGTAGGAGTAAGGTCTGCGTACACACTATCCTCCTCAGACCCTACAGTGTGGGATAATACTTGGTATGTTGTTGTTGTTATGGAAACTTGAGTAGAAAACGGTGAGATATATTCTCCAAAAACATAGCTTTTAAAGTTGGAGATGGCAAGAGAATTAGATTTTTGGTCTGATATTTGGACTGGAACGTTACCACCCAAGAAGACACTTCTAGACTTACGGAGATATATAAAGAATCCTGAAACTAGGATAGCTAAGAATTGTGCACCAACCAGTTATCAACTTAAAAGAAAGCCTCTTTGGTCATAAATTCATCATGAACTATTGCAAGCCATTACCAAGAGACTGACCTTGAGTTCACCACCCATCAATTGTGCAGAATTAATTGGTCTTCTGAAAAAAGCAATAAAAGCCTCAAGACTCTCTTAACTTCTCCTAAAAACCTTAGCAGCAATTCCTATTAAAAACTATAAGTAATAAAAACCTTATTTTTCATTGGCGTCTTGTGCTGCACTACTCTGTAGTCCTGTAGAAAACATCCCCAAAGGACTTACCACATGCACAGACCCACCTTCGTGGCAGTAAATGACTTGCAAGCCTGCTAGTCATATCCTAATTCCTGAAAGAAAAACATTCCAAAAGGCACTGCTTTGATCAAAGTTTTTACCACATTTCAATCTTTAAGCATCATATCTGCTATTCTACATTCAAAGATGTATGTCGTTGTCAATGGACACATATCTGGAAAAAAAATGTAGTTCTTGTGACGAACTGCATAACCACTGAAGTAACATAAATACCATTAAAAGGAAGCAACTCAGAATTATCAACAATGCTTGAATAGAATTTCATTTATTCAGGAAAAGATCCCAATCAATTTTATTACAAGAAAGCACTAAATACATAGATTTATCGAGTATAACATCATTTACGAATATAATAAAAGGAGCTAATTACAGTCTACAAAAACTCGGAAGGTGAAGCAGCATCTGGCTTCCCAGCATCATTCAAGCCCCCCGGATGCAAGTTCTGCAAAACTTGAGCTGACAATGTCCCCAAACCACCACCCAATCCATCATTCGCCGAGCCAAAAAATTGACAGACCAACCGAGCCATGATCCCAAGCAAATTCGTTTGGTTCTGGCAAGCATCAGCATGCATTTGCATCATTTGCTTTTCATGTTCAATCTGCATATTCACCAAACGCTCCCTCCACTCCATTTCTTCCTCCTCCCATTTCTCCTCCAACTTCATCCTTCGCCTCCTCTCCTCATCGAATTCCCTCTCTAACCTCAACCGTTTCTCGCACTCCCTCTTTGCCCACATCATCTGCCTCTCTTCCAACATCAATCCCTTCATCTCAATCTCCTCATCCCTCTCGTCATCTCTTCTATCCTTGCACAATTCCATTTCTTTCCTTCTTTCTTCTCTTTCCAACATACCCTTCTCCTTACTCCACTCCCTCTCTCTCCTCTTCTCTTCCCTCCTCACCAAAACATCCCTCAACTCAAACACTTGCTCACCCACCATCCTAATCCTTTTCCCACAAAACCCTTTCCTCATATCCTCACCCTCCCCACTTCCACCATCTTCATCATCTTCCTCCGCGTTCTCGAACTCTTCGCTATCAATCCCAAACCCTAAACCCAATACACCCTCAGCACCATAAAGCTCAATGATATTATTATCATTATTGGGGGCATCTTCTTTAGTAATATCCAATTCAACATCCCCAAACACTTCCTTATACTTCAAGAAATTTTCCCAGTGGTTTTCACCATCTTTCCAATTGAACTCGTTGTTTGAATTTCTAATTTTTTGCTTGACACCCAGATACTGGTGACGCATGTTCTGAACTTTAATGGACACGTCACGCCAGGACCATTTGAAAGGGAAGTGAAGTGGGTCTTGTAGGTGATGTACGGAGTTGACATGGTCAGCAATTGGTTTGAATTTCTTTTCTCTGGTTTTGAGCTTGGCTAAGGTGCCGGAGTTGAGCAGGTCGGAATACTTTGTCAGCAGAGTTTGTTCTTCCATTTCTGACCATTTCTTGCGCTTCATGTTATTGATCAAACTGTGGGGGGTTTTGGAGTTAGGGTTACGCTAAGATTCGGGTCACTTTTTGGGTGGAGAAGAAAGCGGAGCGACCTCTGTCCCTATATTTGAGGAAGGCAAAGTGCACACTTTTGGGTCGTTTTTTGGTATTCTGGTAGTATTTAATTTTTGAATCTTTTAACTTTCTAATACCGGGATGCTCTGATGGTAAGCAACCCCCACTTCCAACCGATAGGTTGTGAGTTCGAGTCTCCCCAAGAGCAAAGTGAGAAGTTCTTGGAGGGAAGGATGCCGGGTTTCTATTTGGAAACAGTCTCTCTATCCTAGGGTAGGGGTAAGGTCTACGTACACACTTTTAAACTGGTCAAATCAGCTTTTAATTTTTTTTTAAAGCATTTTTTAGTATTTGACAAACTCAAAAAATATTTAAAATAAGTTAAAAACTACTTAAAACAAGCCAAAAGCAATAAGTTGGGCAATCCCAACTTACTGCCTTTTAGTTTAAAAATTATTTCTGCTGAAAAACTATTTTTTAAAGCCAATCCAAACGGGCTCTTAGTTTTGACAATTTCATTGGAGTGGTTGCAATGTATGTGCCAAAAGAATAAGAGAATCTAGATAAGTACTACTCAAGGTAAGTTTATCAATTTAAGTTTTTTATGTATTAAACACAGTCAGTGGCAGAGCTAAATTTTCAGTAAGAGGTGTCACAATATTAAAATATATATATCGAAAAATTTAGGAGAGTCAATGTATAATAAATATACATAAAACAGTAAAATTTATCTATCAATACAATACAATTTTTCAGCTTGGACTGTGGCTCCGCCACTGAAATATATGAACTTTTAATACTCAAGATCAAATTGGCCATAAATTAGCAATTCTAATATGTTAAAAGGAAAAATAGAGTAATAATCTGATTAAAATTTTACTAATATATATAGTTTTATTTAAGGTGAATGTCTCTATTTTAGAGAGATTTTAAAGATTTTACTTGGTGGCTAAGTCACTTTTATTTTTTATTTTTTTGGTAATTAACTTTTTTTTTTCATTACCAGGGAAGTATTTACAAGTAAATCAAAACCCTTACGTATGATCCTGCTTTCCTATACTTCACCCCTCCCCATTTTCCTATTATTTACACATTTCCTACCTATTGCAATGGATACCAGTCTAGGCTATGTAGGATTTTCTCTGTATGCCTACTACTTCGACAATGCAGCTCTTGTATTATCTTCTTGCATATTAACTCCCACCCTTTTGTCTTAGCTTGGAAAGTTTGAGCATTCCTTTCTTGCCACACATAGTACACTGTTGCTGCTAATACCATTTTATATAGCTCAGCTGCTGCTATTTTCCTCTTAGTCCACTTCTCAGCCCATCTTAGTTCCTCATCCCATCCATTTACTGATCTTTTAATTCCTTGCCATGCTAACAGTGTGCTCCATAATGCATTTGCATATGAGCATTTAAAGAACAAATGTTGTATGGTTTCATTAGCTTGCTTGCATAGAACACATTCTTGATCCACTTGTACTCCCCAACTCTGTAGTCTATCTCTTGTGTATAATTTGTCATGTGCTGCCATAGTTAGAACAAAGGTCCACCTGGGGCATCCTGTGTTGTGACAAACGACTCTTCTCCAGCTGACTTTGTCAAATCTTCCTCGCAGTCTGTGGTATATGTCTTTTATCGAACAGTTGTTCATCTTCATGATATCATCATAGCTGAATCCTATCTCCATAAATGTCTTCTTTGCTTTAATGATCTTATTTACCATCCAGGTTGTTTGTTTCAGTTGAATTTCCCATATGTGTCTATCTTTGATATAGTAACTGTGCATCCATTGTATCCACAAACTTCTTCTTTTCTTTGCAAAGATTCCAGTATTGTTTACATATGGCAGCTTTGTTCCAGATGGTTATGTTCATAATGTTAAATCCCTCAGCTGATTTGGGTAGACAGACTTTCTCCCATGCCAATGAGCCTTCTTTGAAATACTACCTTCTCTTGTCCACAAGAAACTTCTACAGATTGTTTCAATTAGCTTTGTGATTTTTTTAGGGAGCACAAAGATTTGTGCCCAGTAGGTTTGGATAGAGAATAGAACACTCTTTATTAGTTGAATCCTTCCAGCATAGAATAGAAATTTGGCAGTCCATGAAGTGATTCTGCCCACTATTTTATCAATTAGAGGTTGGCATTGTACTATGGATATTCTTTTTGAGCTTAGTGGGGCACCTAGGTATCTTATTGGCAGTTCCCCTCTCTAAATTCCTAGAAATTCTAGGATTTCCTCCTGTGCATCTTGTGAGACCCCTCCAATGAATATAGAACTCTTGTTTTTGTTAATCACCAAACCTGCAGCTTTTGAGAACTCCATAAAACAATGGAACAATAGTTTAACTGATCCTATATCACCCCTGCAAAACAATAAAAAATTCCAAATCAATAAGAATTACCTCTCCCTACTTTTCTTTGCAATATTCTTCTTCTTCTTCTTTTATTGTTCATAACACATTATACTCTAACCAATTGAGTAGAAGCTTTGGGATTGAGCATAATAATTGTCAATTGTTCCATGAATTTCCTTCATGATTAAATTCTGGATTTAAGGTAAGTGTTTTACTTTATTTTTCTCTTTTAAATTCGTGATATTCTATAATTTGATTTTAAATACACGCAAAGACAATAAGTTGTGATTATAACTCTAATAGAGTTTGCAAGAAATTATAGCCACGTGAAGTGGTAAGATCTTTATGCCTTACCATGATCAAATCCATGTATAATTGTGGGCAAAGATGTGAAAATCCGTCCCATTGAATTTGCTTCATTCTCATTCCCTTAAGAGAATGTGGTAGCAATATGTGATAAGTCTGAAAGAAGACAAAATTATTACCATGAAGGTACCAATGGATGTGGACGTGACAATAGACGAAATTATAATCGCCATCATTGTGGTAATGAGAACAACAAGGATTCTCAAAATAATCCTTCACTCTGTGAAAGTAATATTTGTTATCGATTTGGCATGAGATTTTGTAAATCACATATAGATGATTATGGTCCATTCATGATGTGAATGTGACAATATGTGATTTATGAATGCATATTCATTCATGGAAGAATATGAGCATGCTAGTGGTATTGAATATACCACACTCGCCTATAGAAAGAGGTTTGAGATGAAATAAGAAAATAATTTCATTCTTATGGCATGAATGGTCATTGATCACGTACCTATTATGATTAGCCAAAATATTATGGCTCATATCACATTACTAGGCAAGCCAACCCAAACCATTATCTACAACAAATTCCTTTTATAAAACCATTTTTCTATCACAAGTTTAAATACCAAATTTCCATAATAAGCGTTTAAAACACATTTACATATGCGAAAGTCAAATAAACATGAAAACTACATAGCCCCAAATATCTAGTGTCACGAGTCTAGAGCCTCTACTACATAACTAACTGTCTGATACAACATAAGTCTAGAAAATGCGGAAAAGAACAAGATAAGAAGGAGAAAACAGGGTTGCGGACGCCATGCAGCTACCTTGAAATCTCCGTCAACCTTTGCATCAGCTGAGGACCCTCACTCTGCCACTCGGGCACTTGGATCTGCACACAAGGTGTAGGAAGTAACGTGAGTACGCCAATTCAGTAAGTAACTAGAGTAAATAAGGTCTGAAAGCAATGACGAGCAGTTAAAAATCATATAACCAAATAAAACAACAGGATAACAGGTCAACTTCACAATTTAAAACCAGTTTTGTCGTAAAATCATCAATTTAGTTTAAACACTTGAAAGCATATACTTAACAATTTTTCCAACAGAGGCTTATTTTAAAAGAAGAGTGAAATCAGTAAAAATATCATAATTGGGCCCCTCGGGCAAGGTATCATTTAGTATATGACCTCTCGGGCAACCTCTCAGTCACTCGTGACTCTACTCTCATCACTCAGTACTCACTCTCAGCACTCAAGCTCATTAACATCTCATAGTAATAGAAATCATAGTAACCGCTGCGGCGTGCAGCCCGATCCATAATTTATAGTCAACTACGCTCACTGGGGGTGTAAAGACTCCGGAGGGGCTCCTACAACCCAAGTGTCATATCGCTGTGTCGCGCAACCCAATCCAATATACATATCACTCCGGCGTGCAGCCCGATCCATAATATATACATATAATATCCTCATTATTAGGTTCTCAACCTCTCTTAGTCATTAACCTTACAGCCTCTTGGGCACAACAATAGAAATTAGGGAACTCAGCCCAAACAGCCCTCTCATTTAGAAATGGAGTGATAAAACTGGTTTTAAACAATTAAACAGGTAAAACATGACTGAGGATATGCTTTCAACTAGTAGAGTGAGGAAAAACAGTAAAAATGCCTCTAAGGGTCTCAACAGGTCGGCACAATGCCCCAAACGTGGCATACAACCCATAATATAGTATAAATGACTAAAATATGGAATATCATAAGGTTTCAAATCAAATACGCGGCTTTATAGTCGCTACGGGATGGACCAAGTCACAGTCCCTATCGGTGCACGCCCACATGTTCGTCACCTAGCATGTGCGTCGCCGCATTTATCAAAACAAGTCAAATACCGGGGTTTGTACCCTCAGTTCCAAATTTACAATGGTTACTTAACTCAAACCGGTGAAAATACTACTCCACGCCGCCTTTGCCCCTCGAATCGGCATCCACTCACATCATATCTATCCAAAATCAGAATCACGACGTCAAAATATGATAAGGGAACGAAGCCCAAGTGAAAATAATCAAATAATACCAAAAATCCTGAAATCGGCTAAAGCCGACCCCTGGGCCCACATCTCTAAACTCGATAAAAATTATATCAACGGAATCCTTATCCTCCCACGAGTCCATACATACCAAGAACACTAAAATCGGAGTCCATATGTCCCCTCAAATTCCCATTTAAAATCTCTTAATCTCAAGCCCTAATTCCTCTATTTTAGGCTTAGATTACATGATTTATTAGGTAGATTTCACATTAGAATCGAGTTTTAAGACCAAGAATCTTACCTCCAAGTGATTCCCCTTGAATCCCTCTTCAATCCCCTTCAAATAGCTCCAAAAATGACCAACAATGGAAAAAATAAACCCCACATTCGCGGACAAGACGCCCTTTTAAACCTTCTACCCAGACCTGAAAATCCTTCTTCGCGAACGCGGTCAAAGCCTCGTATTCGCGAAGCACAAAAATAACCTTGACCAAATTCCTCTTTCGCGATCGCGACCACCCCATTGCGAACGCGATGCTTTACTCAGACAGGCCTTCGTGATCGCGTTCCACCTATCGCGAACGCGAAGAATTAAACTCCCCTGAAGCTCAGCCGCCCATTTCTTCTACGCGAACATGACATCACACCCACGAACGCGATGCACAGATGCCCAGACCTTCGCGAACGCGGAGCCTTCCTCGTGAACACGAAGGCTTAAATTCCACCTTCCCCAAATGACTCTTCGCGAATGCGAGGGTCTACTTGGGAACGCAAAGAGTAAAATACTGTAACAGGTGAACAGAAATCTGCAACTTTTCTTTAACTCAAAATTGTCCATTCAACCCTCCGAAACTCACTCGAGGCCCCCGAGACCTCAACCAAAGGCACCAACATATCCCAAAACCTTATTCAAACATGTACCAATCTTCAAAATACCTCAAATAACATAAAATCAACCAAAATACATCGGATTCAAGCCTAAGTTTTCAAATCTTCCGAATTCCGCTTTTGATAAAAAAATCCAACCAAATCACGTCCGAATGACCTAAAATTTTGCACACACATCCCAAATGATACAACGGAACTACTGCAACTCTCAAAATTCCATTCCGACCCCTATATCAAAATCTCGCCTACCAACCGAAAATCGCCAAAATATCAACTTCGCCAATTCAAGCCTAAATCTACTTCGAAACTCATTCCGATCATGCTCATAAGTCCCAAATCACCTACCGAAGCTAACCGAACCATCTTAACTCATATCCGAGCCCTCTAATACATAAGTCAACATTCGGTTGACTTTTTCAACTTAACCTTCCTCAAAATAAACTATGTGTCTCAAATCTTACCAATTCCTTTCCGAACCCTAATCAATCAACCCGATCACATATAAAACCATTATACAAAGCGATAAGAAGCAGAAATGGGGGAAACAGAGCGGTAACTCATGAGACGACTAGCTGGGTCGTTACATCCTCCCCAACTTTAACAAACCTTCATCCTCAAACGAGTCAAGAAACATACCTGAAGCCTCAAACAGGTGAGGATATCTGCTCCGCATCTCCCGCTCGATCTCCCAGGTAGTCTCCTCCACGGGCCGACCTCTCCACTACACTTTCACTGAAGCTATATCCTTTGACCTCAACTTTCGAACCTAACGACCCAAAATAGCTACTGGCTCCACATCATAAGTCAAATCATCATCTAACTGAACCGTGCTAAAATCCAAAACATGAGACAGATTTCTAATATACTTCCGGAGCATAGAAACATAAAATTCCGGATGCACACTCGACAAGCTGGGTGGCAAAGCAAGCTCATAAGCCACCTCCCCAATCCTCCGAAGCACCTCAAAAGGCCCAATGAACCGAGGGCTCAATTTCCCTTTCTTTCCAAATCTCATAATACCCTTCATGGGTGAAACCTTCAACAGAACCTTCTCGCCAACCATGTAGGACACATCCCGAACCTTCCTATCAGCATAGCTCTTCTACCTTGACTGCGCTGTATGAAGC